GTGTGTGTGTGTGTGTGTGTGTGTGTGTGTGTGTGTGTGTGTGTGTGTGTGTGTGTGAGTGTGTGTGTGTGTGTGTGAGAGAGAAACCAAATGACATCCCGAGTTGCTGTAAATTCAGAGCGTTCACCTCTATTTCCGTCTCATTGTCATGCTGAATCCAGAGAAACCTGTGTCGGCTTTTAAATTTATGGTTGGAAAATTGAAGAGGCAAGACAATTTCGAAAACAATTTCTCATAAGTCACGGCGCCCGACTCCCGCGAGGGCCAAAATAAACGTTTTCTTGCGGCCAGAGATGGGCCCGGTTGCCATGGCGACCGAGTGTCCGTGCGCGCCGCGGATGGAGGCCAATCAAATTAAGGCACATATGAAACAAATTCAATCTGTATCTGCTTGTTTTGCTTATCAGAGTGGGACAGCGGCGACTGGGAGCTGTTATTAAGCTACCGCCGCCCACATCATCTCCCCCCGCGACGCCTATTATGTCCAATTACCAGAGTGCACGGCCTTGCCCACCTCCTATTAGAGTCTCGGCGCTCGGCGCTTCATCTGTGCTGGGTTCTGCGTGCAGCTTGATTCCACCGATGAGTCGGGTTTGTGCCGCCGGGCCAAGAGCTGCTGGCTGTCGAGTTTGCACTGTCTCAGACGGGCTGAGAGTGATCATACGCCTCACCTGTCCTCGAGAAATAACCTGAACTAGAATGCATCTTAATGGATCAAAAATAAAATTAAATAAAAATAAGCATGAATTATTAGTGTGAAATTTAGCAGCCTTAAAAAAAAAATACTGCAAGCACAATATGCAAACTAAATATTCATATACACATAAAAAGTTGAAACTACCTGTAAACTAAAACGCAAACTAAATACATAAAAAAGAAACTTGATAAAAAATAATCCTTTGAACTAATTCTGATGCATCAACTTCAAAACCACGTTAAATAAAAATAAGCATGAATTATTAGTGTGAAATTTAGCAGCCTTAAAAAAAAAACTGCAAGCGCAATATGCAAACTAAATATTCATATACACATAAAAAGTTGAAACTACCTGTAAACTAAAACGCAAACTAAATACATAAAAAAGAAACTTGATAGAAAATAATCCTTTGAACTAATTCTGATGCATCAACTTCAAAACCACGCAGGCTTTTATGCGTGTTCAACGACAAGGTGTTTACATTAGAAACTCAATATTCTGCATTTAAACGTGCACTAGAAGCACAATTTACATACGAATATCTACCAGTACTAGTAAGATCATGTTGATTTTAATAAAGGGTCGTCTCTACAGTTCTGAATAAAATGTGTGATTTTGATTCGACACAGAGATAAAACCTCTAAATATAAGCCACAAATCGAAGCTAAGAGAAAAGCAATATGGCTTAACAGATACTAATCCAGAGAAAAGGTCACGCTCATCCGCGTCCTTCGTTTCACTCTCTTACTAGTGCTTTAAGCTTTCTCTTCATACTCTGCCTGACAAATAAAAGCAGCCCTGAACATCTAAAAGCCACTATTGGAGCAGAGTATGGAAATTACGTTAGTAATATATTTTTTTGGGTGCCGTTAATTCATTAGAGCCGCTCAAGGTGATCGTTTGCTGAATAAACTCTCTCAGTCCCATTGAATGACATGCAAAGAGCCACGAAATCATGTGTTTAAATGTAATTAATATTTCTGCTCTGCTCTAACTGTGCTCTTGAATAACCTTCGTGTGTGTTTTGATGCAGGGAGTGATGCAAGACGTTCAGATCCTTGTAATGCCTCAAGGATACGTCACGCAATGCCCCGACCTCAACCGCAGTACGTGCCGCTAATTAGTTTATCTGTGATTGCCAAATCAAACATATGCAATGGTTTGTTAATTGCATTTGCTTATGCATCTTGCATGTGTCTTTCTTAGCCTGTCCAACCTGCAACGACTTCCACGGACTCGTGCAGAAGATCATGGAGCTGCAGGACATCTTGGCCAAAACGTCGAGCAAGGTGATGCTTTGAATCTGTGCAACACTAGTTTAACAATTGGCTTCATTTCATCTGCTGACGTCACAGAATCTCATTGCATAAACGGCTAATTCTGTCTTCATTGAGTCGTGTCTCTCCAAAGCCGTGTGCTGTAATTGTGGAACACAAAAAGGAGAATTTATAAAGAATCTCCATCAGATAACTCTGCGATTACCGTGCAATTTATGCTTCAAGCACTGATGGCAATAGAGAGGTCAGAGTACTGTACTGTACCTTTAAATAAACATACTGTAAAAAATGTCGTGGAAACAATTTGAACTTCAAATTTCAAAGATATTACAAAAGAAAAGGCAAGTAAACATGAAATGAGACTGAAACGGTGTTATTTTAGTATGATTGAGATACTAATATAGTTTTTATTCATATTTTGAATCAGTTTTTTCAGTTTTTGTTTTATTTCTTGTCATTTTTAGTAGTTTTTGTTTATATATATATATATTACATTTTATATCATTTTTTCATTATTTTATTACATCAGTTTAAACTAAATGAAAATGAGAAATGTTGCCAATTAGCTGAAATAAAATTAAAATGGAAATTTAAAAATAAAACAAATTCAAATTTTTATTTTTACGTTTCATTTTAATTTTAGTTAAAATTGCGGTAATTTTAGTGTTGTTTTTAAAATGTCAATATATATATATTTTTAAATTAATTTTCATGTCAGATTTAGTTTTATTTTAGTACATCAAGTTAAACTAAATGAAGATGAGAAATGAAGCAACAATAACATTTTAAGATTTTATATACTGTATATTTTTTTAAATTAAAGATTGTTTTATTTTGAGTAACAAAAATGTTTTATGCTAAATATATCATAGGTTTAAAATATATTTAGAATTAGTTTTATTTTTGTATTTTCTATTTCCATTTTAATTTTAGTCAGTTTTAGTCATTTTATTGTGTGTTTTTGTCATTTTTATTTGTTTTTGTGTTTTTTTATATATAAGTCTATATAATTTTTATTTCAGTTTAATTATTTCAGTACATCGTTAAAGTAAATTAAAATGAGAAGTGTTGACTTACCATCTTCCTGAACTATATATACATGACTTCAGTTCATGTTTCTTTCTTTGTTTATTCATTCATTCATTTAATTCATTCAATTTTCTTGTAAAACATACTCCAATAGTCTTTGGTTTATTTCGAAAAATTTTTTTTACATGGTACCTTTAATATATAAGAGGCATTTCAAATATTCAGTATGAATATCAACTAATATGTCTGGATATATTCCATATGTTGTGTATATATGGGTAATTCATACTGAAAAATGTAATGCATTATAAAAACTACAACGACGGCAGTTGACGTGAATCTCGTTCCAACCTTTCTAAACTCAAATGATGTCTCGTTTGGAGCCTCAGATTCAGGAATTTAATCTGGTATTAAAAGGTATTTTCGACGTCTCAATCCTGCTCTGCAGTGGGCTGGCAATAAACGCAGCGTGTTTCTCCGCGGTTTGCTTGACAGATGAATCCGAGCCCAGTTTCTGTGAACATCTGGCTTGTGTCTGTGCTGTGAATTTAAAGGCTTGTTTATGGTGTTGTAATAACTCACAGATGCCAACCGCACAAAAACTCTGCCGCTGATGAGGAAGAACTCTTCTGATCGAGCGTGTCGGAATAACACCGTCGTATCGGCGGCGTAATGAAAAATGCAAACGGACGATCGTGAATAATCAATCAACTGCAGACACTTCCTCGTCTGTTTTCTGTCAGCAAGTGAGTTGAATCCGCCCTCTCTCTCTCTGCAGCTGTCTCTGGCCGAGGAGAAGATGAAGGGTCTGGACTCCTGTTACTGCGAGAGGACGTGTCATGTGAAGGGAGTGACCTACAGAGAGGAGCAGACCTGGACCGACGGCTGCAAGAACTGCACGTGCTCGGTGAGTTTAAAAAAAATGATGCATGAGAGAGATGAAGAATCGTGGAGTTCAAGAGCGCAGAGTTTAGTAGGGATGCTGGGGACGTGTTCTTACCAATATCCAGGGACGACTAAATTGTCAAATCAAACAATTAAATATATGTGTATCAGAATCAGAATCAGAATCAGAATGAGTTTTTATTGCCAGGTATGTTTACACATACGAGGGAATTTGTTTTCATGACAGAAGCTCCACAGTGTAACAGAATGACAGTGACAGAACAAAAACACAGATAATAAAAAATAGAAAAATAGAACAAGTAACTAAGGAATAAAAATATACAAATCGAGTTGGTGATTTCTTTTAGACTTTTCCACAGTGATGCCGAGTCGCTGGAAGAGAATTTAATCCTTATTTTTTCTGAATAATTCCTCTTTGCCACTCTGATCTCCTTTTCCAGTGTGTATTTAGC